TAATCTGAAGTGAGGTATCACAAGATGGGAAGAATAGTCTCCACATGTACTCACCATCACATTGGCACTGACTGATCAACACTAAGGTGCTCACACAGTAGTAATATTCTCCAGGGATTAGGGAGTTGAGGGGGATAGACTCACAACTAATGAACGCAGTGAGCATTGCAGAGGGGAAGGGCATGCCTCTAACCCTTGCTTGGGTGAGGCAATGACATAAAATGTAATGAAAATGTTTGTACCCTCATAATATCCTGAAATTTAAAAATATATATATATATGTAGCCCTTCGCACTAAACATTTTTCTTTTTTTTCTAATTTGCATTGACGTATGACTTTTTTTTAAGTTACTATAATTGTTGTTATGTTTATAGGGAGGAGGGCAGAATTTCATCTGTATTAAAAAATAAATCCATATCAAGAACTTTGTGGGCTACTGTTCTTTGTCTTGTAGTGCTGTCATTCAACTTCTTTCTGAGAAAAAATAAGGTCTGATTATGTCTTATTAGTGTTTGTTAGGGATGTTTTATAATATCTTTTCTATAATTTTTAAAGAATGGTATAGATACTTGTCTGTAAAGGTTATTTAGATATCATGTTGTCTAAAAATTAAAGGATAGTGGCTTTAAGTCAACCAAAAAAACATGGCTTAATTATACATCTAGATACATTCAGTCCTATCTGTCAGTGCAGATATAAAGGAAAAAACAAATATAAACAGTTGCATAATTGAATGAATAAGTAGTATTTTCAGTCATCATATTTATAGTTTGTATATCTGTCATGTCTGTAATTTTCTGTATTAGAGAAACAATCTTAAACAGGCACTTTACCTTGCAAGTACCTATTTTATGCAAGTACTAGCTCACCCAAAGTGCTTGACCTACTGTTTCCAAGTCATTTGAGGACATTAAATTTCAGCCTTGAATAGTATCAGTATCTTGGGTTCTTTTGGAAGCCCAGATCACCTAGAATTGTTTGGAAGACGTTATTAGTCAGAATAGTCTATGTTGTAATATTAAATTAATCCTGAAATTTCAGGTTTAGATTTGTTACTCACTTGAAAGTCTCTTCAAGTTGGCTTCCTGTCTTTTTGACATGACTCCAATAGTTTTTGATGTATAACAAGATGTTTCAGGCTCCAGTAGTTTTGATGTATAAGATGTTTCAGGCTCATGTTGTACAATTCCTGTTTGAGACTTCAAATCAGCTATTACTTCAGATGGTACTGGTTCCTTTTAATGGAGAATGGTCTTTAGAGAATGCAATTGCTCTAGAATTGAATGTCAGTACTTTCAAATTGGTCATTGTTTATAGTTTTGTGTTTTTTTTCTTTTAAAAATATGTCAATAGTACTTATTTTTAAAATTGTGGAATACATAATACAAACAAAAGATTATAGATACCTAGTTTAAAGAATAATAATAAAACAAATACCAGTATACCCACCACCAGCCTTGACAAATAGAAAAAAGCCAGTACATTTGAAGCACCTGTACCCTCTCCCAATTGTAACCCCTTTCTAGCCACCTGCAGGAAACCATTATCCTGAATTTTCTGTCAATCTTTTCTTTATAGATTTTTTTATCATATATTTTATCACTAAACTTATGGTTTTTTAAATTTGCATGTTGTATTCTGCAACTTGCTTTTTGATTCAACATTTTCTTTTTAGTTTTTTTCTATGATAATTCATGTTGCTACAGTTCATTCTTTACACTGCCATTTAGTAAGCAGTTTGTTGTATGATTATTCTCAGGTAACCTGTTGTTAATTAATATTTGAGATGTTTCCAATTTTTGTTTCTTGGAAACATACTATTATGAATAAATGTATATGTGTAAGAGTTTAAGGTATATACCTAGGAGTAGAATTGCTGGTAATGCATATTGTTTTCCAAAGTGATTTTCTCATTACTCTCATCAGCAATGGATGAGAGTTCCCATTACTGTCACTTGCAATGCTTTATATGGACAGGTTTTTAATTTTTGCTAGTCTGATACGTGTAAAACAGTATTTCATGTAGTTTTAGTGGCCCTTTTCCTGATGTCTAATACAGTTGAACATATTTTCCGAACATTTGTCCATTTGTCGTCTTTTGTAAAGTGCTTATTTAGCTCTTCTGTACATTTTTCTCTTGTGTTTTATTAAATCAGAGGAGTTCAACATACATCCCGGATACTAATTTTTTTTTGGTTATGTCTGTATTGCAAAATATCTTCTTCCAGTTTAGGGCTTGTTTTTTCATTACCCTTAGGTATCTTTTGAAGAAAATTGATTAATTTTAATATGGCTAAATTTATCAGTTTGTCTTTATTGTTTGTGCCTTTTACTTCATGTTTAAGAAACTTCTCATACTATAAGCTTTCGTGTATATTCTCTTTTTTTTCTTTCCAAAGGTTTTAAAGTTTACTGCTCATTTTGAAGTCTGTGATTCATCTGAAATTTAATTTTTGTGTAGGTTGTAAGACGATTACAAATATTATGTATTCAGCATGATTATTAAATAGTAATTATGTTCTTTTTCCACTTAAAATCAAGCTTGCAAGCAGAAGTCTCCGGCAACAAATTAAACCAGCAGTGACTATAAAGCTACACCTTAATCACAATGGAGGTCTCAATACCAGCATTCTACAGACAGACCCAGCCACCCTGCTCCATTTGGTTCAACAACTGGAACAAGCATTGGAAGAGATGAAAACAAACCACTGTAGGAGAGTTGTCCGCAACATCAAGTAGTACCAGTTTTAAGGTTTTAATCCCTTTCAATCATTTATGAATTGATATACAGCAATAACTTTTCAAATTAAGTTTTTATTGATGATAATAATACATCCAAATTCCATGAAATTTCTTTTTCTGTTCCAGGATATTGAGGTCATAATCAGAAGCTAACATAAAGTTTATTTCCTACTACTAAATGTAGTCAGATTGACAGATTAAGATGTAGTTTGTATTTTAAATGTATAAATAGGATTGAATCAACTAGAAATGAATCTATACTGTTCTTATCTTCTGTGTATATGAATGACTATCATGTTTTTGCTACGTCTTTTGACTGCTTAACTTTATTATTTTCCTCCTTATTGATCAAAATAAAATTCACAATGTAATGGTATTACTGTACAAAATTTTCTAAACAGTTCAATATTTTTTACTTTTCAGAGCACCCCACAATAGTCCCAGCTACTCAGGAGGCTGAGGCAGGTGGATCGCTTGAGTCTAGGAGCCTGAGTTCAGCCTGGGCAACATAGTGAAACTCCTTCTCAAAAAAGAACAAAAGCATCCCACAATGTTAATAGCCACAGAATAATTCAAAGTAAATATGATGATTTTTTTTTAATGCTCTGTTGTTATAGGCAGTTTATGTATTTTTCTTTGTATGTGAAGATGATAAGATTTACCATATTGCTGGATGCAGGATTAATAATTCCTGATTATCTAAGTATGAATTACAGTCCCTTTTTAAAATTTTGTTTGAATAAACTATAAAAGGGGGAAGGAAGTCCACGTTTATTACATTACAAGCAAATATTCCTTTTTCCTTACAAATTTGTTTTTGTTTTGTTTTGTTTTGTTTTTCAATAGGGAACCAAAAGCTATTGGCCTGAAAAACTCAGGTGCTGATTTGTCATCCCAGCCTGAAAGAGTGCAGAGACACAGTGGCAGACTTAAGGAGAACTGTTTGGAAGAGTGGAAATGGGGGTTTAGTCTTAACTGTGTATCTAGGGCTTTATCCTGAGAGTCTTATCCACACAGAAGGTCTTTAGAACATCAAACTCTAAACTGAACTCCAGGCTCTGTCAATATTTTGCCTCCTAAGAACTGGAGATTTTCAGGTCAGAGTGATATAATGTTGCTTTCTCTTTAGAAAAGAGAGAGCCAAACAGGGAACAGGCCAGTGGGAGAAAAGTACACTTGAAAAGGCCACTAATTGTCCCCTGCAGGCGTCCAGGACACCCTTTTCCTGTAGGTATATATTCTGTAGTTGTAAAACAACCATATTATCAGATGTTAGCAGACTGTAATCAGAAGTAATTTTTAATTATAGTGACAACTGGATTAATGAAGCTTTCATATTTAACAACCTCACAAAGGGAAGTTTATATATTACATGAACTAGTAGCACATATGTCATTTGGTTTAAAACCAACATGCCTGCCAAGATTATATGATTAGAAATACCTCTGTGAGGCTTTTTATTTGTGCACATTTGATGGAAGATAAACAAGGCTAATCCCAGCCAAGACTGAAATAATAGCCTTGTGTCCCCTCAGAGCAACCTGCCTTCCACCTCTTTGTCCACTGTTTTTACCCCAATTAAAACAAGAAGGCAAGTGCTGGTCTTTTTTTATTTGTATCAACCTCCCAAGCCTGCTTTCTCTGTACTCCATTGCTGCTTCTGTAATGTTCTGCCTTCTTCCCCAGTCTCCCTACCTTCTGTTAGAATCTGGAACTCATCTTTTAGTACAGACCATCAATGAACTGCTTCCTTTTCTTGTTCAGACATTCTACATCCTTATGGACTCTCTTGCCTTCTTTGTTTTATATAACGTTTGATGTTTTTTGTAGCTTATATAGATACAATTTTTTGCAGATGAAATCACTTTTTTACTCTCCAGTATGACCTAGGTTTCTTGACTCTGGGTAATGTGCCTTTACACCTATAACTATCCAAATTTTTATTAAAGCTTTTTGGGTTTTAGTATGTTGATTTTGCAAGATTGGCTGATGCATGTTTAGGCTTAAATGTCATATCCTTCATGTCTCAAAGTCAGAATAATTAATAATATCTCAGAACAGAGCTGTGAGCACATACCAATATATGTATCACAAAATCTATAAATAGTTCATTCATTGGAAGTCTCCTTAAGTGTATCACCAAATTTCAACAAGCTTGTTTTGTAGATGGGCAAATTTAAAGCAGCAAATTGGAAAGGTGGTGGGGATGCCATAAGAAGATACTATGTCTTCTTTGAGAACTGAATAATGAGAATCTGACACTAAGGAAAATTTGAAAAACCATTAAGAGTGTGTGTAAAGGATGCACGTGTGAGAGCCCTTAAAATTCATAACAGTATGTGGACTTTATGGGTTTATAACCTTATGAGGAAGTTAAGGGTAAGTCCTTGGAGTTGGACAAAAGGATTTGAATTTAGGTTCTGTGGCTTACTATTTGGTCCTTGGTGAATTCTCAAAGCCTTGTTTTCTTCATCTCTAAAATAGGAATTCAGTATCAACCTACCACATTGGCTAGTAAGGACTAAATGAGACCATGTATATAGAATGTTTAGCATAGTACCAGGCTTTAGAAAATACTCAATAAATGTTCACCATTATTCAAATAGCTGTGTAGACTGAGGATCTCATTATTTTATAGCCTTGAATTATATCTAATGTACTCTATTTAAAAAACTGGGAGAAAATGTTAACTGTTTCTGAGTAGTAGGATTATTGCTGTTTCTTTTCCTTTTTAATTTCTATAATGAGTTTGAAAGGCTTTTATAATATTTAGGAAAAAAACTTTAAAGTCTGAAGGAAGGAGAAAAAAAATGTGGGAATTTAATAACATTTTAATAGATATTTTTATACAAAATTTTAATTCTTGGAATGATAAAGACATAGATTTCCAGAAAACTCAGCTATTCAAAACTACTCAGTTCCCAAAGGACTCAGGCAAGCAGGCTGAGGGTTTTATGACTTGCTCTGGAGTCCCTTTTTGCTTTTTGTCTCGATGTTAGTGAAAGAAGCATGAGAATTATCTGAGTCAGTTCTCTTTTTATAGATAATATTACATCTGTGTTTTTAGTCTCCAAAGGAAACACATAATACGTCTTTGTAGTTTTTCACAGCCCTATGGTCAGGAAGTTCTGTCAGCTGCTGTATTAAAGTCCTCCTGCTATAATTTACTCACTCTTCTCTGTATGTATTTTTCAAAATATGTATTTGATTAAGTTCCTCCTTAGCTCACTCTTCCAGACTTTCCATAATCATAGGTTACTCTCATGTCTTTTCCTTTCTTCCACAAATGGTAGAAAATATTTCAGTGGAAAGGCATAGTACATTGCCTCTAACTTAAATATGTTCACTTTTAAAACCACTGTGACTGTTATTTTCAAACTTAAATACTTTCCTTAGAACCAAACAAATGAGCCCAACTCCATGGGCTTTAGTGTGGTTAGTTCAGTAAGCTTTACAAACTTTGATTGTAATGTTTTAATTATAAAAGCAAAATAAGCCCATTATTTTTCAGCTTTCACAACATTATACTGTAGAGATGAGAAAACAATGATACATTTTATGACACTAAAATATAGACTTAATGATTTGATCTCTGAATATTAATGGTTCTTTGTTCTATGTTTTTATAGCTCCTCTCTGCCCAGGAACTCAAATGACTTAAGTATGCTTAACAACCATAAGTCCATAAGATGCTATATACCATAATGGGGAAATATGAAGGAAAGTGATTTTATTTCTTAAGAGCTTAAAATTAAAGGGAATATCAGTAATATAAATAACTACATTAATATACTCTAAAAAACTCTAAAAACTTGGCTTTTACTCAAGTTGTTGCCATCCAATCAACTTTTTATAAGATGCATTTTTTTATAATTATAGTGTAAATTATGTTTGTTATTAGAAATATTACTACTTATATGGCCATCAGAGTGAGAGGCTGTGCTCTTTTATTGTGTTTGAGCCTATTGTGTTTGACATTTTTTAGTTGCAAAGACTATACTTTTCATTTTCCTCCCCTGCAGTTATCATATCCTCTCTTACAGAATAGTTTGCCCAACAACCAACTAAAAAGAGAGCACAGAAAAAAGGATTTTTGCTCTTTCTCACCAACCATTTGAGTTATTTCAACTCTTTTATTTTTAATTTTTTTATTCTGCTCTCTTATACTGAGCTATAATCTACCCACTTATGTATGGCATTGTATCAGTGGAAAAAACAAAGCAAATTTTGAAATCTTTTCTAGGTCTTTTTTTACATTGTACAGATTCAGTTTTGTTAAATATTTATTAAATGCTTAGCATGATTCATGTTGTGTGTCGAACAAAGGATAAAGTCCTAATCTTCTCAAGAGTTTAGAATGCTCTCAGGCCGTTTCATCCTCTAAAATAGTTTAATCCATAAGCTCATTAGGCTGCAGAAAGGAATCTCCTGCCGGGGTTATTCTAAAGAAGGGGAGGGGAGTTCCTCTGGTCTGGTGTCTGCTAGAACAGCTTTTCCTTGAAACTCTACCGTCTTCTGGAAGGCAGAACTCTCATATGATTCAATGGCTAGAGCCGGAGAAATGTACAGAGGAAAGGTTAAGTCATTACAGACTACTTGGACATGGTAGGGCGACAGAAATTATCCTTACCCTTATTCCATTGAAGTGGGGTTCCCTGAGGTAACCAAAGATGTGATGGTAAAAGCAAATCAGGTTCTTTTTTACCTGCATGCCAATGTTGTGATTGTCATAAATCCAATGAGAAGTGGATGCCTGTGGTTTTGAAGGAATGTGCTTAGTTCACAGAACGAAAAGGCTTCTCAGTTTACTCAAAGACTGAAAACACACAGATTAAAATTCAGAGAATGAGGAAAAGAAAATCTAGGGAAGTCTGAGTTTCATTGGGGCAAGTATAGATGGTCAGGATATGATTTCCTGGCATGGTCTGAAAACTGTGTGCTTTTATTCCAAATAAATAAAAAATTCTTACAAAGCTCAAGTGAGTTTAAGTGCTACACCGTAATAAAATTGCTTGATTTGCAGCTGAGACTGTTGCATAGACAATTCGTAGACTAAAAGAAGAACCTCAAAAAGGCTACAGGCAATTTTTTTTAGTACCTGAAAAAAATGAGCAAGTCATTTTTCATAAAGGCAAAAATGACTTACGATGTAT